ACTTCTGCAGGTCGCGGTAGTGCTGGAACCGTGATGCGCTTCTCGGTTGCGACGACGGTTTTTCTGGGGGATCCGGTGGGATCCAAGACTTGCTCTGCGTCTTCTGGGCTGGAGGATGTCCAAACTGAATCGGCGAGGGTTTTTAACTTCTCGACTTCTGCGTCCACCATATCTACCTCGGGGACATCGTTCTCCTTCGCTTGGAGCGCAGCCGCGATGGTGTTCATATTTTGAAGATTGGACTCGAGTCCTCGCCTTGTTAGCGTGTTCTTTGCGTGGTTTTGAATGGCGGTATGCCATTGATAAGGTTTGTTGACGCGATCTTTGGTGATGCCGCTGATCGCGTTTTGGTGCGTTTTACGCGTCGGAGGCATTTTAAAATGCCGCCGATGGCAAACAATTGCGATTCGATTCGTTCCTCAGAGGGTGAGATGGATAAAAGGGTGGGAATGGGCAAATTGGGGGCTTCTCGAATTGTTTTGATGAAGGGGTTTTTTTTTTTTTTTAATATTAAAGTCCTAAGCTAAAGCTCAAGGTCCATTATCGGTACAAGACTGGTGGAGCCGGCGGGGATCACTGCTTACAGGCCCAACTCATTCCAACCGCGTGACCCACTACAGAAAAAGTAGCAGGTAAATTATAACTCAGAAACTGTAATCAAAAACTAAAATCAAAACTAAAAGCCAAAGACTGAATTCAAATTTACAAGATTTTTCATGTGGTCCGGATCCCGCGCTTCTCGCCCGTTCCCTTTCCTGCCACATCTTCCAAATGACAAATTTACTCAATCTCCGCTGAGAGCAAGAGATGAGATAGCAGGCACTTTTTATCCAGCCGGTATCCTGCTATTGGATAGTATATGCCCCAAAAGGGACATCGTCGAGGTTGCTGTGTCCTCAAACTTCTTCAAATTCCAGAACTCCGAAACCTGTAGCCTCGGCCATCGAGACGTCCTTTGCAGCGGCGGTGATTGCCTCTTCGGCCTTCTTTGCTGTTGCTCGTGCTCGTGCCACCTTCGCGAACTCCCCTTGTTCGATGTGGCGGATCCCCGCGAGCTGCTCTTTGGTCACCGGTCCAGACTTTCTGGGTCTGACTTTGCAGTCCCGAGAATCCGATCGGTGGGGTCCCCCACAGTTGCGACACTTTGTGAGGGCCTTGCACTCGGCTTCCGAGTGAATGTTTGATCCGCAGTTCCAGCACGCTGGGGCGCGGAAGCAACCACCAGTGGCGTGGAAGCCCAAACAGCGTTTGCACTGTTCAATTTGGCGACGAGGCTGGATCTTTATAGCCGCTCCGGACTCTTCGAGAATTCGGAAGCCCGCACGAGGGGCGGAGTCCCGGTTGAAAAGGGCATACCAGTTTCTGTATGGCGCTCCAGGACGACATGTCCCGTGCGGTCGCACCTGGCATGGACGTCGTTGTGTTTTGCGGTAAATCTCCAGTGAGATCCTACCGGCATCGACCGTCTCAATACGGTTGATTAATTTTATAGTCGCTGGAACATTCGCGATCCCAAAGGCGACAAGGTTGGAGGCTTCCTCGATTTTGGCATTGAAGTCCGACAACTTCGGTGAGGCATCTAAGAGCTCTTCCCTTTCATTTTCATCCGCTATCAGAATCGCAAATCCGGTTCTGACACGGTGTATAGAGCTTTTTTCACTCAAGGTGTACAGTAGCCTACTACATAATTGATGCCTTATGCCGTCAGGCGAAAGCTGGCGCCATGGGTGATCGCTCTCTAAGCGAAGGAACAGTCGTTTGTCGACTTTAGCCTTCGGAGCTTCTTTATTTTGGGCTTTTGCCGCAGGTCGCGGAACAGCCTTAACAGTAGGGACTGCTTTTTGTGACAGTCCGTTTCTGGCCACCGTGGCCCAGGTGCTTTTTATAGGCAGCGCTGGGACGGTGGAAATCGTTGTGCTCCTGACGTCGGGAGCCCTTGGGATCGGGTTCGCCGGGCGAGGAGGGAGGACGGGTGGCGTGATGGCCGGGCCCGTGGCCATGTATTGCGCGATGGCTGCGCGTAGGTAGACTCTCATCGAGTCTACAAATTGTCTGTTTGACCCGTTGGTCAAAGGAAGAAGGGTGACTTCGACGCCAGAGATGGCGGCGGAGCAAAGGGCCAGATTTGCCGCTATTTTGGTGGCACGTCGTTGCTCAGCTTCGATAATGGGTCGAAGTTCCGGAGGGCAATCTGCTTTCGTGGCAGCTTTGGGTGCAGCGTTCTCCGACAGTTTTGGCGCGGTCGGGGGAGATTTTGACGATTCTCCAATCCCGTGGGGGACGGAGGATGGTTGAGGAATTTCCTCAATAATTTCGACTGACCCGATCATGTCAGTATCGGGCTCAGTGACGGTGGGGAGGGCTTTTTCATTCCCTTTAATCGAGGCCTTGCTTGTCTCCGCGCATTTCGGAGACTGGGCAAGGCCAGGTAATTGTTGGAGAGCCCTCGGGTGGACTCTCGTGTTGTCCAACTTGACGTTGGGGCGCTTTTTGCGAACTGGAGGCATGGTGAAAATGCCTGAGCTCGATCACAATTCAGAGATAGATGCGACGAGGTCGAGAAGGGAGGTAAGAGGGAAAAAATGAATTTTCGAATTTTCGAATTTCTCGAATTGATGAAGAGTTAGGTTGTTGAGCTTCCTATCATTTCTGTGTTGGGATACACTTTGTCAGTCCTATTAGGCTCGATAATTAGTAGTCCCGATTGACTGGTGTTTGGCGAATGGAGATTGCGTATACCCTGTGCTAGCGTTGTTTACTGCTGTTAATAGGAGATCCCGCACGGGCTATCTATTGGGATTAAAAGGAGCCGGTACCTGTGTTTAGTAGAGTAGTCGAATTGACATCCTTTTATCCTTCATTATTGCACAAGCTTCCCTTTACCAATAAAGTCCACGAACTAAGTAGTGGGTTATACATTTCAATACTGCAGACATTAAAATAATATCACAGTGGATCCTAAATCATGGTTGGATAGAGCAATTCAAGATGACAATGGCGGTCGAAATGCTGCTTAGGTAAAGGAAAAGACCAAATAATGCTTGGGGCGGGTAGATATGATCTGGTTGGCCTACATGGATGACACTACTGTGTAACTGCGCTTCCTGACGAAAATATGTGAAAACTAAAGACAACAAGTAGAAATTGGAGGGTGGTTTTCACAATAAGGGTTTCCTCCCTTGTAAATATTATAGATTGTAGACACCTGCATAGGCCCATAGAGCGCCAAATCAGGATAATGAAATCAAAATCAAATGTTATTTTGAATCTAATTTCATTCAGCCATTTTTTGCGCCCAAGGGCCCATGCAGGTGTCTACAATCTATAATATTTACACGGGAGGAAACCTTTATTGTGAAAACCCCCTCAACTTTTCTATTTGTCTATTCGGGAGGATTAAGTCCTGCCGAAATAAATTATTCACAGCACGAAGGGCTACGAGGAAGAAAAGGCGTAGGGCGCTTATTTTCTTGGAATAAATTAATCAATTTTGTTTTCTACTTATAGATTTGACAAGCATACCATGTACTCGGGTTGTTGTGTGTCACTCGGGAGCACAGACCCGTATCACGCCTATTGGGTGTAGGGCGTAGGCCTGACACGAAAAGCATTCAATTCTATTTTATATTTGTCTATTTTCGATAATGTGTTGCCTTCAAGAAGTGCACTAACGCAATTATGTCCAGTGTTGGTGCCATACAGTTCCTTGCTATTGGCAGGAGATCATCTCCTCACTCTCCTTCATCGTAGCTTCGTCTTCAATCATCACTGCAAACTATTCTAATCTACCTTCATATTGAATCAATTTTTTAATCCTTGCTACATTTTCAGGGTTCTTCATCATGGCTACGAATGATCGAGGCTCTGCCTTTCTTAGTATCTCTCCTCTACCTTTGGACCAGACGGAGCAGGCCACCATCATATGTTTGACATTTCGGGACGGATATCCATGTTGGCATCTTGAAATGTCTACTTCGGGAGCTTTTCTTCCATGCAGATAAGAATGAATGAATGTTTATTCTTGTCGGGCACAAACCCTGCTGTTACGGTTTGACCGTGGTTTGGCTTAGGTGGAGACCTAAGCGGAGTTTGGGGGCGTATTAGGGAGAGTATTACATATTATCTTGTATCAAGCGACTAAGTTCCACTTTGCCACATTACATTGGAGCCAAGAAGGAATGTGAGACGGCGAAGTAGAATTTCCAAGTGAGAGAGTCAGCTAGATGGCAAAGATGACGACGGGCAGTGGCGGAGCAATATGTCATTCTCACCAACAGAGTACGTACTGGATGAGCTAGAAGGATGTACAAATAGTCATTGCCCGTAGTTGTGGTACTTCTCTCTTCATATAGTTTAATCTTTCTAAAAGTACACTACAACCAGCTTGGTTTCGTCACACCTGCACACAAAGAGCACGACGCAGAGAATACTAGCTTCCCCGACGACTATATATATATATATATATATACAATTCAATATCCTGATTTGACGCCTTGAGACCCATGCAGGTTTTTATCGGAAGATATGTACTCTAAGTAGGGTAACTCAACTTGACATTTAGAACACTCATACTCAGATTTCATCTGCAGGTACCACTCGAGGTTTACCCTTACGGCGTATAACCTCATCCGTGCATACCCACAACAGGGAAAAGCGTGAAAAACCTATGACTATCCGAGTGTGCTTTCATCATCCCACAAGTACAATATCACCGCGAGAGAGAATGGTGTGTAGGGCTTACTGGACTCGAACCAGCTTTCTCCTGTCTCGAATGGAGTAGGTGTTCAAGCTACCCAGTATCTACTTGGGAGAACGGCCCAAATGGTGTACTACTGCACCATCGAAACCCGACGGCTATATACGACGATAACTCACTCTGATATCTGGACTACTCATGTATTGGGTGCTTTCGCTGATTCCACTCGAGACCTTGTTGATAGGGACTTTCGCCCTTTTCTCAACCGTTAATATCCATCAAGGGGAAAACAGGAAAAACTTTGGCTACCCTAACATGCCTATGCAATCTTGTATGTAGCTGTCGCGAGATATATAGCCTCCCAGTCTTCCATTTTTCGAGTGAGTTGGGTATCCAGGCAACTCAGACTTTAATTCGGGGAGATAACGACCAGGAGACGGACCAAAACACTTTCCATCATTGCCTGTTTTTAGAGTGTCGGTCGCAATATCCGAAATCGTTGCCTCGGCGCCCACGGAAACCCTTGAATCGAAAACACTCGAAAAATGTGCGTCCCAGAATGCACATTTGTGACCTCATCACTCGTTCATCCCACACCCCAACTGCCTGTCCTCCCTCAAGATGTGAAGCCCCATTTGACCAAAGGACCCCCATAGACCAAGACCCGAGCTTTGTAGATTATGACTTAATTTCCTCCTCGCGGGTATACATAGCATCGTAAATATGAAGTGGGAGATGGCCGGTTTTTGATGGGGCACATACCCGATTGCAATTGGTGTGACTCCATTATTGATATTTGACGCGGGGTGGTGTAGTAAGATTGAGATGGAGGACTCGCATGAGAATGATAGGTCAAACATTTGTCGAGAAGTCGTCGATTTAGATATGCATAGGGTTGCTTTTGACTTCCATTCGGATGCGATTCTACTTGGCTATCCCAGATATGCAGAGCATACTGAGCGATTACACCGGCACCACTGGAAGATGAAGAATAAGAATTTGCCGGCTCCACGAGATGTTATGATGGTTGGCACGTTGCTCTAATTCTATATTGGGGTTAGTTTCGCACTGGAGATTAGGTAACGCCTCTGGTAGTTTAAACATCGGAGGCCGCTAGAATGGCAGAGGGGTTAATTCGCATCGCAGATTGGTGCTACACGTCAATCTGATCATTACACTGCAATTTTTCACGCATGGCATAATCAAGTCATAACTGCCTCGGACCCTGTGACAGAACTACCTTTTTCTCCCAATATCAACGAAGCCTTCAAACACCTCGATTTACGCGCATCTTGCCATCTAGATTCGCATCGTCTCCAACCTTCCAGCTCTCAAAATCCTGCCCTGCGAGTCAGCATGGTCGTGGCAATTAAACTTGAAGAAGATCAGCTACCAACGTTGAGAAGGTTGGATGCTAGAGACGAAAGGAAGCTAAGCGACTCAGCGTTGGCATCGGATGCAGAGGTCTTCGGCGATAATCCGAATCGAGAAAAGGCCATTACCAAGGCAATGGGATGCTATCCGTATGCTCGTCAACCGGCTGCAGATGGTACTGAGGAAGCCGTATTTCAGGAGTGAAGCTAATCGTACTTTGTTTACAGTGTTATCAGAGAAGTGATTTCTTACATTGACCTGAACAGTCTCGACGCTCTCTCCTCTACATGTCGTCAAGTGAGGGTTAATCTCCTTCAATATCGCAAACAACTTATCAAATCCACCCTTCGCTGTGAAAATGAGGTTGTGATCTCCTGCATCGAGCATAGATATCACAACTATCTTATCGAGAGAGAAAATAATTCGCGGAATCAAGGAGTGGGCAGATGTGCCCGAGACTTTGTTGATCATTGTCGCCGTTGTGATCGAGTCGTGTGCAGAGTCAGTAATACATTCTGCTGCAATACAGTCACTCACAGACAAATAGAATTGTGTGATCAAGCCCCCTTCATCAGCTCTACTACGCTGTCGACACCGTCGCATGTGCTTAATGTGTTCCCAGATTGATCTATCTTCTCTGGTCAATTCAAGGTCGGCCTCATTCGGCCCGACTCTGTCGTATATCTGGCACCCAACAGTCAACCAAAGTGGTAATTTCTCAAAGACTTACTTTTGTAGTTGTGTCAGTGATCGAATCTGGCTTTGCAAAGCTTGTGGCCGATCAGTCTGCAGCGCCGATCAAGATTACGAGCGAATTTGGAAATGGTGCACTAGATACCTTCCATCGCTAGGGGCTATAAACAATAGTATCGGGGATGGAGGATGTGGTGTTCCTTGTGGACTTGGTGAAAATTGTGCGAAGGCAAGAGAAGTTGAAATGGAAATAGACTGCGATGCAGAAGATGCCAGAGAGAACAACCTTGACTACATCTCAGGGAGAAACACTAGTCGTCGGTGCAGTGGTGGAAGCAGCCAGGTTGGACCTGGTTACAAAAGACATGAAATAGAAGGCATTGGAGGCGTTATGAAAAAGAAATTAGTAAAGATTGTAAGAGTTGGTGCTTCTGTCTCCGAGTGGAGGGATGATTCAGTTGTCGACAACTTCCTAGCAAAAGAACGAGACGGGAGTGCTCGAAGTTGGTGTGCTTGGTGTCGAAAGATAATTCCAAGCATCGCTGATCGAAATCTTCAGCTCTCAACTCAGGATTAAATTGGGCTGTATTAATAGTTAAACTATCTTAAATTGAATAAAAAATTAGTGAAAGTACTTTCCTGGATGTTAGTAATTTGAATTTGAAATCTTTTATGTTACAGGAAGAACCTAACATCTATTTACAAGTGACACGGGTAGAGGGTCTCTGAGAGCTCACTGCTACCTACATGACCGGCAGTGAAGCCAGAAGCGACAAAAAAAAAGAATAAAACAACAGGAACAGTATATGTCTGAGTTACGGTGCTCTGCGCCGCATCCCTATCTTCCACACACATCTCCTCTCGGGTCAGAAACAATCTCAGCATGGTCACCTTCCATCCTGTTCAATCTTCAGCAGAATGTAACATCTGCTTGTAGATAAGAATTGGAAAAACTTCTGCCATCCATTCCCCCTATCATTTTCCTGGCCCCAGGTGGGGCTTTTTTCTCACAGCTTCTCAAACGTTGCAAAGTAGTTCGGCACTCTGAAAAATGCCAGGACCTTTTCTCTCGGCCGCAAACGCATTTCAGGTCTTCATAGTCGGGGTTGAAACGTCAATGGCAGTCGACGTAGTCTCTATAGCCTATTCTTGCCGCAGTAAGACGATAGTACGCCCATCTTGGTAAAGCTAGTTCCGGTGGTATTTTGCAACGCATGAACAGGTCCAAATCTTTATATTGTTTCGATCGATACTTTTACCACCATTCTTCCACGAGCTCTTGGCTGTGCAGTTTAGCCCACCTCCCTTATGCCGCAAAGGTTAGATCTCGATCTTCTCCACTGGGCGCAGCTGAGGTTAGTGACCGGATATTGGGGGCTCCCAAGACTGATTTGGCCAGCTTGTCGGTCTCTCCATTGCCTTGGGTCCCCACATGACCAGGTATGGATGTAAGTAATAAACTCGTCGAGCTCGAATTTAATGTTTTTTTGTTTATTGGCAAGGTCTGTCTGGTTGGAGTTAGAGCTAACCGAGTTTGTCAAGGTCAAACTTAGGAGTCGCGTCAATAACGCTACTCATGCAGATCAGTCGCGTGTAGAGGACGGCGAAGGCTGAACACCTATCAGTGGTGCCCTCTACGAAGCTGGAAGTGAAATATTCTCCCAGAGCCGAGATTCAGTCACGAAAAAGGATGGGATGAATATTAGTTGACGGATTTTCGACTTGAAGGAGTTGCACTCGATATTTTGACCGAAAAATCAATTGGCAGAGATTTCACACCCGGAACAAAGTTGAACAAAAACTCATCACCACTAACATACGATTCACGAATGGATGTCATAGCTATACAGCTGAATACAAATATGAATCAAAAAAAAAGATTCACGAATGGATTTAGGTCTGTCTGGGGGTCGTATTCAAACATCCGACATCTCTCAAACTCCTTTTATAGTTGCGATGAAGCATTTCTCAGTCGATCCTATACCTGCGACCCACTTCCATACTCGTCCAATCGCCTACCTACACACGCCCTAATGAGGAAAGTCATGATGGAAACGGGACTTGAACAAAGGAGGAAGAAGAGGGAAGACACACCGAGGGGATTACACAAATCCCCAATGACGAAAACAAGCCGATGGAACGATCTGGAGATGCAAAGCTAGAGCAACGACAAGATCTTGGACGGCATTTATATTTCGGAGTCAATGAGGATGTCAAGGGCTCAGGCGCGTGGTGGCCGAGGCTGAGGAGGAATTTGCGATTCGGCGTGCAAACAGCTGGTTTCTGGACGGTTGGGCTTGACATGGTTCTACACATGGGTGAAGTCTGAGGTGGCCCGGTCATTAAAGTGGGACGAGATATATCTGTACTTCACGGTAGTTAACCTGATCCGGCTCAACCCCACACGTGCTTAAGCTCCAGTAAGAGTGCAACGGTAGTCATGTAACCTAGCACGTTGATGAACAAGACAAAATAGTCGCGTGGAGAAAATTTGGACTTTGTAGGTTTAGTTTATCTCACTCTTGTGAATAAGACACTATCGCTTCTTAATCTATCTGACCTTCTTCCACTGTGCTAATTCCCCTGTCCCCTCCACGTTTGTACAGCTATACAAGGACTTCCAATTTAATAGTTTTTGAGATTGTTATGATGCTAATAATAGCTGTCAGCCTCGTGTTGTACTCTGGTCCGAGAGGGACTCAACTATCTGTAATTTGTAGGGCAAGACTAGAAAAATACACGCGATGTCCTCTACAAACCTGTGAGTGAAATATTCTCCCGGAGCCAAGTTCAGTAAAGTTTCGCAATACCAAGGAAGTAGGCCCACGAGGTAATGATCCAAAACACTCCACCATATCAAATTTTCACTACAAACAAGATCGACTCCTACCTAAGTCTCGTCAAGCTTATAATTACGACCTTGTACATCCTCGTTCCAATGACCACACCTCCCGTCGACTTTTTACGGGCTAAAATAGTCACTAAATACACGCCCACGCAGATATTTACATCTGCCGGAGGAAGCAGAGTGTGACGTATAAATCTGGGAGACATTTCTTTGTGATGGACGTGAGTAAGAAATGGACTAGATTACAAGGTAGTGCAGAGGATGGATAGCAATTTAACTCAGTATTTACCCATAGGTTAGGGGGCTATTCTCAACACCTGTCAGTGATGTCTCCTACGGACCTCCAGCTCTCACTGTAGAGTCTGCAGAGCCGAGATTGAGTAACAAAGTCTCCACTTCGACGAGGATCCCCCATCGCTTACGCAGTCTGTATCGTCTTCATCTCTCAACACATTCCCCTATCACCATTATCATGGAGGAAAAGCCATCCGATGAGTTTTCGGAGCGTACCCAGCACCCGATACGGAGATGGCGCATTGGATCAAGTCGACCTCAACTGTTGCAAAGAAGGGAGATATAGATGAATATGCGCACTTCATGTGGTCCCGGTGTCTAGGCCTCGCCTGGCTGGGGCTGCAGGATTTTTGAGACTTTTCCCCGCGCACGCAGTGTCTATTGCTGCCATTTTTTTTGGGTAGAAGGTTCCCTGGAAAAGGTGGCCGAATTCCACGGATAAACACTGAGCTGAATGGCTATTCATCAAGGGCAATATATTAATAATCTTTTAAGAAACATGAGAGGCAAGGAGCACTGTACAAGGTATGGCCTGGGTCAGAAAGGAGCCCAATGTGCTAGATAGTCGTAGACTCAAGTCATTCTATAAACCAAACGCACGCAAATAAACTAAGATTATGTGATCAGACTGCCCATATGATTTTGTGTCAAGAAATGTAGATTGAGTACCAATGCGCCATTCGGCTCTGAGATTTTCGGCGTAAAATTTTATTGGGCAAATTGACTTGAGGAATCCATACACTAGTCGTAATTGCCGATCAGCCTTGTAGATGAAAATGTAGTTTATGTTAGCCAATCAATTTTCATCCGAGAAAGAAGTGCCCATTCCAAATCGACCATTACCTGTTGTCAGACATGGCGCATCCAGTTCGAAAATTCCAGATTATCAAGGGACCTACAGGACCCTCTCCAATCACCCCAGAGCAAAGGTATTGGAAAGGATTTAAATCAGCCCAAAATGTTTCGTTCCAATCGCCCGTTACGCATATATCATATCCTCCACCTCCCGTGAGTCCTCTTCAATCTTCAGCCAACGACTATTTTGTCGCAACTAGTGGTACGCGAGTACAAATTTATTCAATCAAGACGCGAGCATTGGTCAAAACTATCAGTCGATTCACTGATATAGCGCATTGCGGTGAAATACGACGAGATGGACGACTACTTGTTGCAGGTGATGAAACAGGCAAAGTTCAGGTCTTTGACGTTCAATCAAGAGCAATACTCAAAACTTGGGACGAACACAAGCAGCCAGTCTGGATAACCAAATTTTCACCTCATAAATCTGGCATGATCATGAGCACAAGTGACGACCGTACCGTGCGATTATGGGACTTACCAAGCAATTCAAGTATCACCACTTTTAACGGTCACACAGATTATGTGCGATGCGGTAATATACTACCTGGGACTATGTCCAATCTAATTGTTAGTGGAAGCTATGATGGGACTGTTCGAATTTGGGATCCAAGACTTCAAGGTAAAGCAACTATGACATTCAAGCACGCTGCACCGGTTGAAGAAGTAATTTCGATGCCGTCTGGTACGCATATTATTACAGCAGCAGATAACCAGATTTATGTGTTGGACATTGTCGCCGCTAGACCCCTACACATTCTTAAAAATCACCAGAAGACAGTTACATCGCTTTATCTATCATCAAAAGGTACGAGATTAGTTAGCGGTGGACTAGACGGGCATATAAAAATATATGAAACGTCTAGTTGGAATATTGTTCACGGCTCAAAGTATCCCTCGCCCGTGCTCGCTGTCAGTGTTATTAGTGCTGGAGTAAATAATGAAGATAAGCATCTTGTAGTCGGCATGCAGTCAGGGATGATGTCGATAAAAACAAAGCTCTCAGGGCAAGAAAGGGTCAAGCAAAGAGAACGCGAGGAAGAGATGCAAGCACTTATAAGTGGTAATTTAGAGCAACATGATAAGTTAGCTAAAAAACGAGCCCGTGGAACTGAGAAGAAACTTCGTGGTATAGATTTTGTCGGTGAAGGCGCGGCAGTCATTATTGAGGGACAAGAACAAAGGAAGCGAAAAACAGAAACCTCCTGGGAGAAAGACCTTAGAACAGGAAAATTCTCTCAAGCTCTAGATCAGGCCCTTGAGAAAAATCTATCCTCAATTACCATATTATCCCTCTTAACTGAGCTACGTCACCGAAACGCTTTACGGACTACACTTGAAGGAAGGGACGAATTAACGGTTCAGCCCATCTTTAAATGGGTCACTAAACACTTGACGGATCCCCGATACGTTAATATTTGTACTGATGTTTCACTTATTTTGCTTGATATCTACTCAGAACATGTTAGCGACTCAGTTGAGCTGGAGAAGACTATACGAGCATTAGATCGCCGAGTTCGTACAGAAGTAGCAAGAACTCAACAGGCGTGCCAGATAAATGGAATGTTAAAGATGCTAGCTACAGAACTGCATTAATATTACAACGTTCTTCAAAAGTGGCATAGCGACGGCGTTGTTTGATGTAAAAGTTAATTTTCTAGTCTAATCAATAGGTTACCAAATCGATTCAAGATAATAATCTTCAATTTCTACATTAATTAACTTATTTTACTTCAATACTTCTGTATCATACCAGACGGAGCTCCAAGTGTGTATTGAATCAATTAACCTTAGAGAATCTACAAATTTATTTTCGATATAAGAGGGAAAAAGTCTCAACACCCATCGGCAATGTCACCCACGAGTCTCCAGCTTTCAAGTTATTATGTGCAGAGCTAAAACTGAGTTACATACTGTCTAGGAGAAATTCTTTCCCTCCTTGAGTCACCGTACTTCTAAATACCCCAGACGGCATGAAGAAGTTGCACTAGCCTACTTTACAGCATTCGCTCTCTGACGAAGATTTACCAACACAGGAATACGTCTTAAGGTTTACCCAAATGCGCAAATGAGTTAAGAATTTAGGAAAGGACTCGAAATCTAGAAATAAATTATCTCGGAAACAAAATTGACTACATTGTCCGGCCTACCAGCTCTCCGGACTATTTCAGAAGACAAGCTAATTCTTCAGACTAAATTATGATTTTGACATCAGCAGAGAGCCACATTTATTAGCTTCTTAGGAAATTTCTAGTCATCGGAGGCTTGCAAGTAACACCCGACTTTTTAGGTAGAAAGTGGAAATAATGAAGGTCAAGAGGCCCCCCTGCACATTTGGTTGAATGATGATTTTTCGGGTATATAACTTTTAGACAGGAGCTACATGGGCGGCACTGAAATGTATATTCAGCCTGAAGTACGAAACTACTTCGACTGATGGTAGCGAAGATCCCATTTTCCCATGATTTTTACAATGCATAAAAAATGGAAAACTAATAAATTGTGAGAAAATTTGACTTTAACTCGAAGGTACCGATTGTGACGGCTAGTAAGCCGATAGAATCCCTGTAGCTTATGCTATTCAGCACAGGCATATTCATAGTGTCAGCGCTAAGTTACTCTTGTATTGAAAGTCTGGAGTTGTCCATATTTGAAACGTTTTTGGCAATTACCCCACACCTGTCACGGTTCATATCATGACTCTCCATAAAAGGGTGAAAGCATGTCTAAGCAACGGTGGGGGGTCTAGTTGTCATATTAACACAATTGTACAGGAATAGAGAGTACTGGTGTTATTATTGACATTAGCGTCGAGCTAGTCAGAGGAGACCCTTCAGTAATCCTCGTTCACGTATATAGAGGGCGTGTGACATTTTGTTAGATTTCCATTACTTGTCTACATCCTATCTTGTCTACATTCCATCTTACGTATCTTGTTTATATGTTGTCCCGTGACTTCTATCTTGTATACTCTCTCGCCCCGTAAAAGCACCTGAATATTGGGGGAACGACTGAAGGACAGCTACTAATGTTTGGAATATTGCAATCATGTACATGTACATGTAGGGCGTTGGATGTAGCATTACTTTTGTTCTTCAGTTAATAAATAAACTTACCTTTCGACATACAAACGCCCAAGCTTTATATACCGGAACCGTTACACCGATCTACCTTTTGAAATGAATATCTTTACAACACTAGTACCTAGTCAGTAAAATGCAATCTGAGCCTTCGACATATCGCTTGATGATCAAATATTTGAACTCTCGAGTCTAGCCATATTTGAAATACTGTTGAAATGAAATAACAATTGTTATACTAATAAAGACTTAACGAAATTACAAAACACATTTCCAGTGATACATATACCATTCATAGTCTACGAGTGATCCAGTTCTGTAGAGCCAACACAAATGCCTTCTACTTGTGTCCTATACTCGTGTCCTGAATGAAGCGAGTGATCTGTCTTCCTGACTCTTGTTTAATATCCAAAGGCCACTATCACGCGACCTGGATATTCCTCAACAAAACATGTCATGCAAACTTCATGCCCAAATTGTGACCACTAACATTCAGGGAAATATGCGACGCATACGTTATTTACTCGTAATAATATTGTATTTATTAGGTCTCAACAAATATAACACACTAAGTTCGTGGTACTTCTTGCTAGAAAGAAGATTATACAATCAATGAGAAAAAAGTATGTGGATTCGACTTCTCCCATTTCAAGTTCAAAACTCCTTTTAATCCCAAAAGATAGCTCGTGTGGGACCGTATTAATAATAACAAACAATACTGGTACAGAGTTTACGCCGGAGGGCAAGACTGCAAACCTGTACACGTTGCCTTCTACGAATTTGCGAGTGAAATATTCCCCTGGGACCACGGGAAGTCAGATTACGCAATACCGAACAAGTTGGCCCACGAGGCAACGATTCAAAATACTACGCCAAGTCGAATTTTCACTCTCATCGAGATCGACACCTATCTAAGCCTCATCAAGTTTACACGAATGACTAAGTACATCCTCATTCCAATGAACAAACCTCTTGTCGACTTTCTCCGGCCTCTGTTGGTGGCCAAATACACGCCCCCGTCGATATTTATACCCGACGGAGGAAGCAAAGCTTGATGCAGAAATCTGAGAGACAGTTCTTTGGGATGGACGTGAGTGAGAACTGGACAACTAGACAAAATGATGCAAGTAGTGGCTACGGTCTCAGAAAGGGTGAGATTTTGAACTTTGATAAGGAGTTTTATAAGTTGAGCTTTGTGCGCGACATGACTTTGATTGAGAGGGTGCGGGCGACACTTTAAACACCACCATGGTTGGATGGTGCGGTGGTACATCGTCTTGGATGGTCTGCCAAGTAGAGTCTGGATAGCTTGGACACACATCCTACCCGAGACAGTAGATCGCTGGTTCAAATCCAGCAAAACACAACTACTTTTCTTGCGGCGCTGGTATGCACAGACGAAGGCTACCTGGGATATTGAAAGGTTTTGAAATTCCCTTTGGTGGGTACTTACGGAGAAGGGTCGACTGTTTGTGTGAGCGAACATACCTCATGGATGTATTTGCAAATGAAATCCAGATTGTGAGTGTCTCTAACGTCAAATGAGCTATGAATCACGTTAATATAGTACCAGTCATGTGTCATAGCTAGATAGCTGAATACACATTAAAAAAAAGGGTCTACGCCATCTCGGTTCATCAAACACCAGTTGGTTGGAACTACTTTAATTTGATTTCATTATCCTGATTAGGTGCCCTGTGGGTCCACGTAGGTTTCTATGAACTGTAATATTTGTCATGGATTCGTAGGATCGATCCTTGGCTTGTCTCCAGGCCTCACCTCTACTGTTTGAGCATCAAGGACAGGACATAATCATGTGCTTGGGGTTCTTTAATCGAAAATCACAAAGAAAACTTGGACAGTGTACTCCGGGTACTTTTCTTCTGTGCAAATACGAGTTAAGCCCCATGTGCTCGCTTCAAAATTGCATGGCAAGACTGTTCTGGGCCGTTATCAAAATTCGGCGACAATTACATAGCCATTTCTGGAGACGTGTTTTCTACCGTTCCATCTGCCGACTTCGATAGTGCTTGACTGATTTTTAGATTTTAGGTACTGCCATTGCGAGTTGTCGAGACTGTTGAATCCACCTTTGAGTTTACCAGGATTTTTGCCCATTCTTGATATGCTACAACTCTTCTAAGCTATTTCTGCTGTTCTTAGTTTGGTCTTCCACGAAAATTTCAACCCAGTGCCAGATCTAATCTTCTGTTGTTTGCTAGAATGTCATCTCTCCCTTGTTTGGGCAGCTTGATATCACTCTAGGTGGATAGTGTGAGTCTCTGAAATTGCAGGGTCTTCAAGAGACTAACGTATTGGAACCTTGATTTTGATTTTTTGATTAAATTTAACGTCGTGCCCGTCCACAGCTCGTGACATTAGTCACGTAATTGACGGCCTAGTCCCTACAGAACTACCCGACGCTCTAGCGCGCCCTACAGCAACTATTACAAAAGAGCCCAACCAGCTGTCCGCCACACGCCTCCAGCACGCGCTCTTGAATCATCGCATTCCACCTACGACATTTTACTGCCACATTTATCTCTCAATCACTCATGACGCCCCAGTCCTCTGCAGAGGCTGGCCCCTGGCCCCCCCTCCCCACTCAATGTTCGACGCGTCCTGACGTCCAAATGGTCCTTAACGGGCCACAACCGCCATCACAACCACCCACACAACAATTTGTAGAGACAATCTACGAGGCGAGTCATCTATACTCATCCAACAGCCCAACTCCGTCGCCTCAAATTGTCGCGACCTAATTCCTCGCCGAACAGGGCAGGATATTCCAGAAGCGCTCTGCACATGCCGAGCGCTTTATCATCGGGTTCTGCAAGCTGCTGGAACCAGTCACTGACGAGAGACTTCGAAAAATCTTTGATCAGGACTTACAGGCCCTTCAGGGCAAGATCTTGGAAATTCTGTGGGGTAACCCATTCCAAGCAGACGCCTACGCTCCTGCAAAGGCTGCAAGTGGCCATGCAAACCTGTCCCATCCGGCTTAAGTTACAGAGCCTCCTAAAAAAAACCCTGCAAGCGTCACACGTCCAGTGCTGATCCTTGCCAGAGAAAAGAACAGACCGGCACCATCAAAGCCGTCTGCCACAACAGCAACTCCCCAGCCTAACCAGAGCTCGAATATAACCAACAACAAAAACACAGACAAATCGTGTATCGAGGTGTTGGGAAAAAGAAACAATCCAGCAAACTAAGCGGCTCCAACGGCCACACCCAAGACAGTACTGATGAGACCCGTCCCCACGCTGAAGTCTAAAGCTCCAGCAACACACCCCCAACGCCCTGACGAGCGCATATTCTTGCGCCTCAGACCTGACCACCCGTGGAGACGTATTTCACCCCACTTCGTGAAAATAAGCCTAGTTAGCAAGCTGCGTCTGGCCAACTCCACAATTAAACAGGTCACTGTCGTGAACTCGGGGTTCGCAATACAAGCCTAAGGGGAAGGTGCAAGATGTGCACTTCTCTCAGGAGGAGCTATATTAGATAGCTCAGAAA